TTCTTTCTTGCAATGCACAGCTCCAGCCGAACAGCGCCGCCGGGTCTGGCGCCTTGGAGCACGATCCTTGCTGTCTGTATCGTCCCAATTGGTCGGCCCAGCATAGCAGCAATGCCAGCTCCAATGCGAGCACTGCAAGCAATAACAACATACAGTTGATTAACAAGGCCCAGCAGTGTCCGGGCCCTTTGCCACTGGGCGTGGCCGTCATTGACATGTCCGTCACTCTATATGGCACCATTTTCCCAAAGGTAGCGAACAAGCATCGCCTCCAAATGCTGGACCATTTCGCCGAGTGCATCAAGCAGGCGAAGAGCAACCGTCAGGAGGCCATCCAGATGAACATTTTCACGGCTCTGCTGTATGCACTGAAACAGCTGACGGACAGCAAAACGAGCCTGGGCCAAGAGGATGTCAAGAAGAGCGCCACCAGTCTGATTGTCGCTTCGTTGACCAGCTCCAACTCCACCATACGCTGTGCAGCTGGCGAGGCTCTCGGTCGTTTAGCCCAGGTTGTGGCCGACTCCCATTTCACCGCTGAACTGGCGCAGAACAGCTTCGACAAGCTGAAGTCGGCGCGGGACGTGGTCACGCGCACTGGACACTCGCATGCCTTGGGCTGCCTTCATCGCTATGTGGGTGGCATGGGCAGTTCACAGCACCTGAACACCAGCGTGTCCATATTGCTCGCCTTGGGACAGGACAGCTCGTCGCCTGTGGTGCAAGTCTGGTCACTCTATGCTCTGGCGCAGATCGCCGATTCCGGCGGTCCCATGTTCCGCGGCTATGTGGAGCCGACGTTGACGCTGTCGCTGAAACTGCTGCTCAGCGTGCCACACGCCCATGTGGATGTGCATCAGTGCGTAGGCCGTGTGGTTAATGCATTGATCACCACTGTGGGACCGGAACTTCAAGGCAACAACACAGCCGTGGTTGCAATGCGTAGCTCCTTCCTCTGCGCAGCAGCATTGCTGCAGTCGCATGCAGATCCCTTGGTGCAAGCCGAAGCAATTGGCTGCCTGCAACAACTGCATCTGTTTGCCTGCAAGTCTCTGCAGCTGGACACGCTCGTACCGACCCTGGTCAAGATGCTGGCCAGCAATTATTTCATCTTGCGAAAGGCTGCCGTCGCCTGTCTGCGTCAGCTGGCGCATCGCGAGGCGCGTGAGGTATGCGAGCTGGCCCTCACCATTACACCGGAACAGTGTCCAGATTTGGTCATTACCGAATATGGTCTGCCCGGACTGCTCTTCTCGATGCTCGACACGGAAACGGATGTGGAAATGCTCAAGAATATACACGACACGTTGACTTCAATGCTGCAAATGCTGGCTGCCGACAACCTGAGCAACTGGCTTAGTCTCTGCAAGAAGGTGCTCACTGTGGCCGTCGAGAGTGGCAGCTCGAGTGAAGAGCAAGCGGCGCAGGCCGGCTCAGCGGATGCCGGCGGCAAGTCCGGCTCAGGCGACGCACAGCAAACGGACGACGACGATGACGAGGAGGAGGAGTACGCTGATGATGTAACCGAATATCGTGCCGAGGAAAATACATCCACACATCCGGCCGTGCAGCCGCGTTGGCCCACCCGAGTGTTTGCCGCCCAATGCGTTCGTCGCATTATTGCCAGCTGTGAGGCAGCAAATGCGCTGCATTTTGATCTGCTGCAGGCCAAGGAGCAGCAGCTAATCAAGTCGCGCAGCGGCGATTATCTTATACTGCATCTGGCTGAGCTCATACGCATGTCCTTCATGGCTGCCACCTCGGACTCGGATCAACTCCGGCTGGAGGGCTTGCGCACACTGCAGGAAATCATAGATCGATTTGCAAACGTGCCAGAGCCAGAATTTCCAGGCCATTTGCTCCTGGAGCAATACCAGGCACAGGTGGGTGCAGCCCTACGACCGGCTTTTGCGCCCGACACGCCATCCCATGTGACCGCTGCTGCCTGCGAGGTTTGCTCCGCCTGGATCGGATCGGGTGTGGCACGCGACATTAGCGATTTGCGGCGTGTGCATCAGCTGTTGGTTAGCTCGCTGAGCAAGCTCTACACGAAGACGAACAGCACGCAGCTGTACAATGAGTCGATGGCGACGCTGGAGAAGCTCAGCATACTCAAAGCCTGGGCGGAGGTGTACATTGTGGCCATGCTGAGCAATGGCAAGGCTCCCGCCTCGCTGCTAACCGTCTCGCCAGCTGGCACAGCCACAGAGCTGGTCACCGGAATCGAGTTGGATACGGACAGCCGTGGTGAGAGTTTGCTCAGTCTGGTGCAACCGGAGCTGCATAATCTGTCCAATCACTGGCTGGCCGCCATGAAGGATCATGCGCTTCTGCTACTGCCTCCCGAGTTTCAATCGCAGTTGCCGCGAGACGGTGGTTCCTTCTACACCACAGACACCATCAATTCGTCCAAGCCGCACTACATGACCAGTTGGCCGCCCATTTTGTATGCATCGGCGCTCTGGCTGCGTGACGAGGGCTTTGCCCGCCATCAGGACACGCAAAGTCCATCGGATGCCAGCAATGGAGCTGAGCCAGAGTCGAATAATAATCACATTACACACGGCTCCCTCTCTGCGGATCGCTTCCACATGATCTTTGGCATCTGCATGGAGGCGCTGTGCAGCATGCGCAGCTCGGATAAGCCGCGCAACATTGTCAGCTGTTTGCGTGCGCTGCACAGCATCTTCGATTCCGACTGGGCACGCCGGCAGCTGATCAAGGATCGTGCCTTGACCATTGAGCTGTGCCATGTACTGCATCGCCAGATACTCACGCGCGACGAGCTGCTCGTTCAGCTTCTGTGCGTGGAAATATTGAAGCAAACAATTCAAGCAGCACGCGAGGATCTAGAACGAAGGCGGGAAACTCAAAAGCAGCAGCAGCAGCCCGCAGATAATGCAAATGAGAATCAGAATGACAATGAGGATCTGCAGCTGGGCGAGGGCAGCGTAATGCAGCCGGGCAGCTCACATGTCTATGCCGTCCTAGAGGTCTGTCTGTGCCTGTTTGTACGCCAAATACCCAGCCTCAATCCCAGCAAGCAAATCAATCTTCAGCTGGACTATGCGCACGCCAAGAATGCCTCATTCTTCTCAGTGCTCGGCGATGAGAATGGTCGTCTTGTGGCCATTGGGCTGCAGTGCGTCGAACAGCTCCTGGAGCTCTGCACGCCTAGTGGCGCCCTCACCATACTGCCCACCATACTCTACATGACCACGAGCATTATGCGAGAGATAGCCAACAAGTCGGCCATCGATAGCAGTATTCTGGCTAACACCTGTGCTGTGCAGGCAGCGCTGCAATGCCTGCGTTCTGTGTGCGTCCATCGCTGGGCCCATCAACCAAGCACGCAGGAGGAGTGGCAGCAGCTGCTGCAAAGCGCCTTGGCCACCATTATTGATATGACCAAGACGGCGGGTGATAATGAGGAGCGTAAGGTAGATGAGGTCACCATGCTGCTGGCCATTGCTGTATTCATTCTGCATACGCCCGCCTCTGTAGTGGGCACACCTTCGCTGCAATATCCTTGCATTAATCATTTCCGGCAGTGCCTGCAGTCGGAGCACTTGTCCGTCAAATTGAAATGCATCGAGACGACGCGTTCCATTTTCACGAAGGCCGACTTAAAGACGGCCACGCCCTACATACATGCGCTGGCACCGCGCATCATTGAATCCCTGTACTCCGAGTCCAGCAAGACGCCGGCCAGCGAACTGGAACTGCAGGTGACCCTCGAGAGCATTGTGACCGTGGAGCAACTCATAGAGCTTGCCGAACCTCAAAATCGTAAGTAGCAGACATTATTTATATAAATGATATCGCGGGTCTGTTCCGAATAGGTAATACTGATAGTAACGGACTTTTTGGCTAGGTTGAGTGGGTTTTAAAATATAAATACGCTTTTTGAGCTTCTAAAATAACTAAAACCAAATAAATATATTTATTTAATTATTTTATTAATTAATCTGAAAGTAAAATCATGATAATGTAAAAATGTCAACAAAATATTGATTTAGAAGTTTCCAACATTCGGGACAGACCTGTAGAAAGTGCAACTAGTGCGTCCCTCTACCCAAGTACTGCTGTACATTTTCAAATAATGCATAGAGCTGCCCATTGGGCACCGAGTTTGTAAGCGTCCTCAACTAGTACCGTTCGTTTTTATTACATTCTGCTCTTTTTCTCTACGTCTCTTCTCTTATAATTGCTTCACTCATTAATTCACACATATATTAAAACAACAAAAAAACGTTAGGAAACTTGCTACAAGGTAAATAGCTGCGCATATTCACCCGTTTCTTGTTTGCACTCTGAATGTAAATGCACAACAATATGCACTAACTCTAAATATATTTGTATACATATATAAATCCATGGATATTTTTATTTATATATGTATGCTAATAAATTAAAAAAAAAAATAAAGGTAGTTATTAGCTGTAGCTGCAAATTTGCATAATTGCGCTTTAAATGTCGTTACACACTGCATGCGATTACCGTTGTTGTTATCGATATCGATAGCACGCACCGATAACAGTTTACTCAACCAAGCTGTGTTGTCCTTTCTGTTTTTCATAAGCATTATTGTTGTTTTATATCAATAATTTTGAATGCATTTCACAGATATACAAATGCTGACACTTCTGGTCCCGGTCCTCATTGGCTACCTGGCCGAGCCGAATAAGCTGCGGACATTGCCCAAATATCAGCGGCAGCTACATGAACAATCCCTAAATTGGCTGCTGAAGATCGGTCCCAAATATCCGCAGGAGTTCAAGGCGTTAATGGGCCAAAAGGCCGAACTGCGACAGAAACTGGAGGCGGCCATACGTAACCAACAGCAATCAATTAATCTAGCCCAAAAGGCCAATGAGGCGCAGCGCAACGGTTTGCTGGCCAAGCCGCAGAAACCGACGATCAAGCTGAAAACAGACTTTAGTAACTTCCAATAACTAAAATAAACCCTCAAATACTTGTATGCTTGTAGCGTCCTTATTAAAATTGCTTTTGTTGCTATTAACGTAATAAGTACCTAAAGAATCTAAACTGCATAAATACGACGACGTATATTTAACTTTTAAGGGCTGCTCCCCATTACATATGATAATCGGTTTTGTTGGGAATGCAACATATTGTTAGTTATTATATTTATATATATAAATAAACATGATATAAGTTATATAACCTATTAGCAATGTGTAAGCTTCTCTATTCGTAAGATAGTTCCTGCTTAACATGCGGCTCGTCCTTAAACTCGGACTTAAGGCCCTTATGCGAGTGTGACATGCGGCTCAGTTCTTCGATTTGCTCGCGGGCAATCTGTTGACAGTCCGAATCGCTTAAGTTTCTGCACGCCTCTTGGCTCTTCAGGTTTCGCTTTCGACGCTGTGTGGATGGCGGCCGATCAGATTTAATTGCCGAGCCATAGTTAACAGATGGTCGCGGCAGTGCCATTAAGGCCGATGGAAGCTGCTCAAACGAAGAGGGTTGCAGCCGACTCAATAGTGTGGTGGTATAAAAGAGAGTGCGTAATCGTTGCCGGAATAGCTGCACTGCTGGCTTTGATTCATCATAGTCGGCGGGTAGTTTCAAGCCCGATCCAATTTTCGCATGATTGCGCCAACTCACTGACAATATGCATATGGCACGAAAGCCCATCATTGTGGACCAATTAGGCGGCAGCAGCAGTGGCGTTGTAGATGATTCACTTGCCTCCAAGGCCGGCAATTGACTCAGCATCTTGCTGTAAAATCGGTTTAGCTGCTTGCTCAGTGTGATGCTCTGGACCAAGGGGTTGGCATTGGCTGGTAGCCGGTAGCGCAACGCATTGGCCACTACGTAAAGATTCCGTTCGTTGCATGGAAGCGGGATTGGTGCTGGCGGGGCATCGAGTTTCAAATTATAAGAATACTTGAAGTACTCGTAGATGTTTGAATCAATGCCTCGTAATGGCTCCAAAATCTTGTCATTCATGGCCGATTTAAATCTCTTTGCTTTCGGCTTCTGAACGGGACTTACGACCAGTGATTCCGGATCTGCTTGCCATTCTTGCCAACGCTGGACCCAATTCTCAGCGGTTATTGGTGCATTTTTTGTGACATTGCGGCGTGGTATGTCATTCACCGTCGCCTCCGGATGTTGCTCAAGAAACCGCTTGATGACCAGAAAGCGCGTACGACAGCTGGTACGTGTGTGATTGCCCAAGTGATTGGCACACTTCACCCACTGCGAAGTACCGTGCTCGGTAACAAAATTCATTAGCTTTGTGTCATCATCCATGGACCAGGGATCGGTTTTATTGCGCTGTGCCAGCACGTTGTTATAACGTGTACGCAGCTGCGCCAGCGAACGATTCGGAAACAAAGTACGCGGAAAACAATTGAATTTGCCATTGTACTCCTCATAGGCAGCGTAAAGCATTAGATCCTCGCTGGGTGTAAAAGGCTCTGAAAATATATATATTACTCTATGATAATCAGAGAATCATATTTATTATACCGTGACTGATGCTGGGATGCAACACATACATATAGCGTCCAATTAATGTCGATCGCGATCTGCCCGGAAAATGCTCGACAACTTGCGACCAGTTAGTCAACCCATTCACAGTATTTCGCTGGACAACAGCACGCAAACGATCATTATCCTCATGGCTCCATCGCATCGCACTTGTGGGCTCCAAGTGAAAGCGCATCGTTGTCTGCATGCGCACAAAACACTGATAATCGGAACGTCGGCCCACTGCAGCCGCTATTGCTTGCCAGTTTTGAAACTTGTTGGCTTTAGCCGCATCCAGCAAAGCTTTATCCTCCTCAGGTGTCCAATCGTCGCGCTTCAGCTTAGGCTGCAAATATACCAGCCACATAGCCTCACAGCTGTAGGAGGAATGACGATGCTCGAGATCCAGTGTGCTAATCTGATGCCAGTCGATGCTGAAATCGCTATCAGCATTAGCTAACAAACTAGCCAATGTTTGTGCATGCAGATCGATGTATTTCCGTTTGCGATCATTCATTTTGTTGGACACCTTTTTCTTTATATCGTTCTGATAGCTGGTATACTCTAACAGCTTTAGGGTTTAAGACATAAATGTGTTTAAGTAACAATCGAACTATTTTTTACTGTTACTTACCTGCTGCTTTATTCCCATGACGATGCTCTTTTTGTCCAACACTGTCCAGACGTGCTTAGAGCGCATATCGAAATCGGTGGGAAACATTTCAGTGTTACAACGTCGCTCGTAGTCCTCATTGTTGGGACAGCTACGTCCATCGTTGTCGCGAAAGTATAGATTGCCCTTAAAGCGAAATGTTCCGCCGCGCAGCAATGCCCCGCTCTTGCCCACGTTTTCAAGGCCGTTTTCTGTTATACAACGGGACCGTGGATGCTGGCGTCGTAGAAGTGCATCTTCATTGCGTTTGTAACGACCGCGCACTATCTCTAACAGCTTCAATATACGGCTGCGCACCTGTTCCAGGCGTCGCTGAAGTTCTTGATTCAATTGCAGAGCATTGGCATCGCTTCTCTCGGTGCTAGCTGCTAACAGCGTCGTAATTTCCTGCAGCAACTGTTGATAATTTTTTTTAATATCGTCCACATCGCTCATGGTACAAAACTAATATTTAAGTTTATGCATAAGCAAAATTGCAACAAAAAACAAAATATCTCGGCAAGACCTTATTAGGGATGAACATTGCTACTCGATAATCGTCGATGTAGATAGCAAAATCATAAATATTTTAACATCGATGTTGTTAGGAGATGAATATCGATGTTGAGTTTTCAATTATGTCAACATGATATTTTTATAATACTTATGCGATATTCCAATCAGATTGAAGCTCTGAGGTTTCATTTATTCACTACGTAATTAACATCATGAAAATGGTTTTAAAGTATCGAGCATCCCCTGTTCTTCAAATAAGATTAATCTAAAAGTAAATAGATTGTAAAATTAAATTGTAATTAATCATTAAACTTCACCTTATTTGAAAAACATATATTTTGCGTTTTTAACGGACTTCATCGATAGGGATAACCAGTGTGTACAACACATAGAGTTTTATCGATTGCTGCTTGCATATTATCGTTTTGCAAAAACAAAAGAGAACTAAGAGACGAAAAAACAACAAAAACACGGAAAGTCACAAAAAAGTGCGTAGCAATTAAGAGTCAATTAATAAAATTCGCCGTGTATGCGCCTATGACGAGTGCAGGCCAAAAAATATGGATGATGTCCCCGTCAAAATAGTCGAACGCTATAAACCACCACCCCCAGTATACCAATTGCCCCCGACTATTGCGAATCGTTTGGCCCAATACAGAGACAACTACTATGCGGAAGAGCAGGCTTTTCATTATGACTACCAGCTGGAGCGAAGTGTACTCAGCAAGTGCCAGCACTGGCGTCGCATGCGTCACCAGCAGCAGCAGGCGCGTCAAATGCGCCTGGAGCAGCGCAAACAGGAACGTCAGCGTGCGCTTGAGGCTAAGCAAAAGGAAATGCTTGGCGCTGTTGAATACCCCAGTGCTGCGGAGCTGTCATCCGATAGCGATGATGATGAGTTAGCCATGGAGTCGCCAACAGCAAAAACCGCAGAAGCAGTGGGTACAATAACAACGACCTCAACAACGTCAATTAGCGACGCTGAGTCACGTGAGAAACTCAAACCAAAGTTGATGAGCTCTGGTAATTTCAATAATATTCTGCAACCCACCATACTGAGCAGCGCTGCAACAGCAACACCAGCTGTTACACACCATAAGCGCAACAGTTCATTAAACTATGCGGATTTTGAGTACAATATGAACTCGACGCCATTCGATAATATTGAGATGAAGACGATCAATGATTTGGATATTTTGGCGCAGGTGCTGCACCAGACACAATTGACTCAAAACCCACTTGCATCAAACGAGGTGGAACCTATAAGCGAGCCAGAGAATAAAAACGAACAGCAACAGATGCAGCCGGAACTGGAGCTGGCTGTTACGACCCTGGCCGAAACCAAAGCGACGCTAGATAGCGTCAATTTCCAAGTACACTGTGATGATGCCCAAGGCATTCCAGCCATGTACCCAACTCCCCTGTATAACACTCCTATTCAGCAATCGCAGCAACAGCAACAACAACTCGTCTATCCTCACATGGTCTACAATCAACACTATTATCCTCAGCAGCAGCAGCAGCAGCAAATTTATCCCAATCACAATTACTTGCAGCATAGTTATATCAATGGCTATGGCACACCCACTCAACTACCACAATCGGTGGTGCCTCCGAGTAACAATATTAGTATGCTGTCACCGAACACATCGGAAGCAGATATAAAATCGAGGAGCGTGCCCGATATACTACGAGAATTAAAAACGGAGCTGCAGCAGGCGGAAAAGCGTCGCGTCCGTCTGTACAGCCACAATGAGGATGAACAGCAGGCGTTGGCATTAACCCAGCCACAGCAATTGTCCAACAGCCAGCAGAACAATGCCAACATATTCCAAGAGCTGACTGTGCCGGCACAGAAGCTAGCACAGCGCATCAGCTCCATGGGCTTCCCGCTCGAGCGAGTGGCAAAGGTGGTTAGCCTGTGTGGTATCGATGATAAGAAGGTACGTTAGGATATCCTATGTAGGCTACATTCCGTGTATCATTGTTTAATTTATTGTTTTTACATACCATTCAGATAATCGAGCACCTCATTCCATTGGGCGAGTTAATGGATCTCGGATTTGAAGAAACAAAAATCTCGGCGGCTCTTTTGAAATTTAATAACAATAAGGACAAAGCATTAGACTATTTAATTAAGTAGTTCAATTCCGTTAATTTGATATGATGGCCGCCCCGGCGCTTCAAGCAGCTAGAGGTGCGGATCCTAATACAAGCATCCCCACTATATACTGCAAACGTATTTTTCTATTTATTTGCATAAATAATTGGAGCTACCACAAAACATAATGCTAAATCGCTTAAGTGTACATAAATATATATATTATATATGTGTGTATATATTTCATATGTATAATATATGCTTCAACATATGCATACTCTTTAGAAAACGGCAGAATAAATACAGCTGCTTATTGCTAAGCGCTCGACATAGTTTAATTCATGCCCAACATTAGTAGATTTATAGCATGCTCGACATTACCGTCGGCCAGAGTCAAGTAGTTAACATTTTGGGTATGATTTATGAAGCCCATGGCTGCCATGGTCCGCAACTGTTCGGTGAAGCGATGCCGGCGATAGCAACGTGGCAGGACATCGCTGTCATCGCCAGCATCATCATCATCCTCAGGCTCATCGACAGCCGCACTGGTATCTGTTGCTCCTGACTCCATGTCCATGTTCTCAACAGCTGACGGCGCCGGTTGCTGCTGTAGTGACTGAAGAGCCCGTGCCAGCTCATTGCGCAACAGCTCTGATGAGATGGCAGCAGCACTGCCAGCTGTAGTGCCAGGAGCAGTCGTACCGCTGGCAGCAGCGGATGCGCTGGTGCGAGGTCGCTCATCGCTGAGAGCCTCATCTACATTGCGTTGAGCTATGTTTGACAATGAGTTAAAGGAGCTCATGTCGACGCGGGCTAAAGCATTAGCCAACTGTTGGCGACTGATCTGTCGTATGTTGGCCAGTTCGTCTCTACGATTGGCTGCCAGGGTAACAGCTGCTGTGCTACTGCTACCACCACTGCTGCTGCTGCCGGCACCCAAAGAGTTCTCCTCCTCCGATGAGGTTGTGGACTCTGAAGCAGCTTGCTCCTGAACTAAAAATGAAAAGGTCATAATCAGACATTGGAGGCTTTTAATCAAGTAAAACACTTACACTGCGTGGCAGAGCTGTTACGTGCCAATTCCTTACGTATGGTATCGACAATAAATGAAGCTGCATCACAAATTAAAGGATAATCCCGCACCAGATTCTGTACCACCTCTGGCTCATGAAGCATGTTGAACAGCACCGAGTCGCGAATCAAAGCCTGAGCACCTAAATTACGCCGAAACTCTGGATACTCAGCTAGTATTTTTTGTAGTATGTTAAAACGGGATGTGACACTGATTTGCAAGTGCGAAGTCAGTGAAAATAGCTCCTGTATGTGCTGAGTGTTTATATCGCTGGGGGCAGGTGGCTTGTAGGGTGTATAAGATTTCATTTTACGGAAACAATGAACAATAGCGTTTGGTTTCATTGTGCTTGAAAGCTTGCAGTCGTCGTTGAGCAGCTTGCCCAAATAGCATATATCTGCATTGAAAAGCACACAATGAATTGGCGTTATTGCTTATACTAAACGTGTACATACATATATAGTATATAAATATATACATACCAAGTTCGCTGGCATCGAACTGTAGCTGCAGCTGCTCGGTAATGATCTTCTTCAAGTATGCCACATCCTGCTCCATATCGATATTGTGCACGGGATAAAAGTCACTTAACTTATTTTTAACATGCACACCAGCGAATACAGTACTCGTAGTCATTTTGATTTGTATGTACTTTTCTCCTCCTTGTATTCTGTATACTTTGTTTTGAAAATAATTTGCAACTGGGACTCGTCGTCTCGCAAAGTGCGTAACGATTAACGATTAACGATAAGTCTATGCACCAATAAACACACGAGGCAGTGCTGCTCTATTTTTTAAATATAATTAATGATCGTCTAAGTCGTAATCGATTGATTTTGAATATTCCGAATTTCAGATTTGTTTGTCTGTACACTTTTTTGTTGTTTATTTATTTATTTTTTTGAAATGGAAAACAATGAAACTCAAACGGAGAGATCGCGATTGCAAAGGGATTATATCAAAAGAACATCGGATTCTCAGAAAGCTTTAATAACCAGCCAAGATAGCGAAGACTTAACAATTAAATCCTGTGAGTTTGAAATTTTCGGTATTGTCCACGGTATGTCACTACAGCAGACAAAACTATAAAAATTATGTGAAATTAATAGTTATCCAATTACAGATGTTTCTTTTCGACATGTAAGAAGTGTCTTTTATTTATTGTCTCTTATTACGTTAATAATTTACTTAGTATACTTTGAGACGGGCTCAAAAGCTTAGCGTTCGCGGATGGTGCCTCTATACCCAGCATCAAACAATTAAAGGACTAATACAGGGGTACACAAGAAGCTTCGAGGCTATGTAAGTGGTCAAATAGCGGAAAAAAAAAACATTAAAAGAATCATTAATGATAAACCTGTAGGCGTATTTGGTTAAGATACACTGGAAGCCCGACTAGCCGTATTGACAAATGTGTGTTTGGCCCAACGGAGGAATTGAAATATTTTTCCTACGACGCCTTTACCATTCTCAACATTCCATATAAATAACTTTTTGCAACAGTAATTAAACCGGCTTATCACATTCAACCGCCTAGTGTGACCGTTTCATTGTATTGGCAAAGAGCAAATTATATGGTGACACTGTGTCAGCAAAGTGCAACGCTGCGTGATATATCAAGTAAACCAAACGGCATTGCAGTTGAAATCGTTTCACTCATCGCGGCCCGTGACCAAACAATAAAAACAACCTATTCAATAGAATATTCTGTACAGCAAACATTTGGAATAAGCATTAAATAAAGTGTGCATTGAAATAAAAGCTACAACACATGAGTGAGCTGATTGCCACTTTCAACACGCGCAAGACTTTCACTTTTTTGCTAAGAGACGATAAATGAAAAGAAAAAAACAACAACAATTACCAATCTATACACCGTTTCACAAAAAAGAGCGCAACACCTAGGAAAAAATGAGAAGACAAGCGGGTAGACAACAGCATAGCTAGATACCTAATTGAAAACGTGACGATAGATATATTTTGTTAAAATTAGTACATAATAATAATAAACAACAGAAATGCAACAGCAGCAGCAGCAACGGCGATAACAACAATAACAAAACCCTTGCATGGCTGTGTGAGTGTGTAATTTGGCATGTATATACATACGTGCCTATGTGTATGTGAGTCAGTACGTGTATGCAAGGGATAAGAAATTAACTAAAAAGCGGACTATCAATTTGTCTCTCTGTCTGTCTGCTATTGTCTGCCTGTGCGTGTGCTTGTGTGTGTCTGTATATGTGTGCGTGCGTGTAGCTGTGTGGAGTACAGATTTAGGTCAATTTCAAATTGTGAGTGAAAACATAAACTTCGTTGCATTTGTGCTACAAAACACAACAAGTATCACAACATGGACAGCAGAATACAAACAACACAACAGCAACAACAGTCGTCGAGGAATTCGCAGCTCACCGTCAATCTGGGCGGCCCAAATGCCACTAGTTCTGCAGAATCCAGCGCACCGCCACGCGTTGACATCGGTACGACTGGTGTCAGCAGTGGAAGTAGCAGCAGCAACAGCAACATAAATAATAACAAACGCAACAGCAATAAAAACAAGAACAACAATGGACATCAACGCAGCCATAGTATAACCAACGCAGCGGCCACATCGTTTGTAAATCTCTTCGATGGATTCACCTCACGTGTGTCGACGGCTGTAAGCGTCGCCGGCAGCATCACAACCAATGCCATGGAACGGAGTCATAGTGCAGCGAGCACGCCCAGCTCAACGCATTCTGGAATTGGCGTGGGCTCGGGTGGCATTGGGGCCGGTTCGATAGCTAGTCTTACGAGCATGGGCTCGTTGGGTACAACAGCTAATGCATTCTATTCCTCAATTGGCAGCGCTCTCAATTCACTCACATCACCAATAACAGCAGCAGCGGCAGCGGCGACAGCAACCACAACAGAGGTAGTGGTAGCTGCTGCATCGGCAATCACAAATCATTTGAGTTCGCCCACTAGTGGTACACCACCGCATGGTCTGGGCGTAAACGATGAGGACTGCGATGATAACGATGAAGAGGAGGACGAGGATGATGCTGTTGATAATGATGGACATATAGCAGCGCCGACGCCATCCAAAACGTGGGCTGAAATCAGATGTGTTGTCCAAGACATTCGCAAGGATCTGTCCAATCTATCGACAATGGTGCCCACCAACGTTCAGTTCCGCCATCTATCCGATGGCCGTGCACGGTGCTATTTCCTAAGTACACCGCCACACAACTGGGAGACAACGTTGCTCTTTACTGACATCAACCTGCGACAGCATGACGAACAGCAGCTGCAGCAGACCAGTGGCGTTGACCATGAAGCTGCCACTGTCGGTAGTCCAGGTGGAGTAGGATCACCAACAATAAACCTTCCATCATTTCATTTTGGTCCACAGCCTAAGCCCAGGTTTACAAACTTGTTTTCTTGAATGCCGAAAAATGTATAAAACTTTGATTTTTTTTAATAGATTGGTTTGGCAAACACTGCTCCAACAACCCATACCCAGCAGCCAAGTGGGAAGCGGCATAGGTGGTAGCGGTAGCGCATATCCATGTGCTCGAGAATATCAATTGATGCAGGAGCGCAAGCGTTTGTCTACATGGGGTATTACATCGTATGAACTACATAAGCCCAGCGGAAAATTAGTCTTTCCTTGCTTAAACGATCTGTATCAATGTCTGGACACGGGATATAATGTGAGCAGTGCATGTGGAGCGTGTTAATACAGTTTTTTAATTGTTTTGCATTTATTTTGACAGTCTGGTCTGCTATTTCCCACACAACTGCGAACATGCCCCGAGTGGACGGCATTGGATCCACAAATCTGCCCACAGAACTCCGATCTGATTGCTCATATCAGTGACTGTGATATCTGGGTAACGCACACGCTAAGCGGTCATGAGAAACGTTTGACGTACACGAGAAGCGGCCGACACACGTTTGCGGATGATGCATTAAGTGCAGGAGTGCCATCATATGTGATGCAAGAGGAATTCAGTCGCTACCAGGGTTATTGGTGGCAACCGCACTCAGATGATGGCATCTATCGTATTGTCTACGAGGAAGTAGATGAAACGGATGTGTCCCTTTATACATTCCCTTCGTCGACGGCTGTGCCTGGCGAGGTGGATGAGTATCGCTTTCCGCGTAGCGGCACACAAAACGCCAAATCCAAATTGAAGCTTGTTCAATTTGTGCTCAACGAAGCGCTACTAATTAGCGAGATTACCATCAAGGATTTACCATATTCCTTGTCGGCGGTATTTCCCTGGCTGGAATACGTTGTACGTGTCGGCTGGACACCGGATGCCAACTAGTATGCGACAGATCTGGTTAACTATCAATATAGCACTGTACTTATATTCTATTTTGTATTCACAGCGTCTGGATGCAGGGCCTTAATCGCAAGCAGCAGCGCTTGGATGTTATGCTAATACCGCTGGACAACTTTTGCGAATCGTACAGTAGTCAAGTGTCCACGCCAACCGATTCCATTGGGGATCACAGCTGGCGTAGTCCATATAATCGCACAATATCGCCGCTGCAGGTCATATATACCGAGCAGTCAGAGAGCTGGATCAATGTGCATGATATGCTCTATTTTCTGGAAGTGGGCGATACGAGCGTCACCTATCTATGGGCCTCTGAGGAGACGGGCTTTAGACATTTGTATCTTGTCACTTCCAGCTTACTATTAACTCATGTCAATGGCAGTCAAACGGATGCGTCGGCTGCCGCAGCCGCTGCTCAGCATCCCAGTTTTGTGGAGCCAGCCGCACTGCAGCCACGCATCATTAATAAGGTGGCCCTGACGAGCGGTGAATGGGAGGTGCTGGCACGTAACCTATGGGTGGACAAGCCCAATCAATTGGTTTATTTTGTGGGACTGCGCGATACGCCATTAGAGAAACATCTATATGTAGTTAGCTTGCAGCGTCCAGAGCACATACGTCTGTTAACCGAACCGGGGTACTCATATCTGGTGGAGTTTGATGATGTAAGTAGTAGCTCCATTTAAATGACCGAGTGATTGACGTAGTCTTTGTGCATATCCATTGATAGCTATGCCAGTTAATGTTGCTCGTCTATTGCAATATCCAACGCCTTCCAAGCTGCAAGGTGATGCGTGTGACGCAAACCTGCCAGAATGGCGGGGTCAATGGTATACAGATCTCTTTGGTTGGATTTTTGCATGAAGGCGGCAAGCCGGAACCACAATATTGCCCGCAAATCTTTCGCCCACAGCTGCCATCAGGCGATATCGTCTATGCCATGGTCTTTAAGCCTCACAACTTTCAATTGGGAGTTAAATATCCCACGGTGTTGAATGTCTATGGCGGACCTGAGGTGCAAACCGTTAACAATACATTTAAGGTGAGCTCCCACTATTCAATAAATTCTTTAAATAATCATAATCGCAATCAGGGCAAACATCAGCTGCGCATGCATATGCTGGCTGCCCAAGGCTATTGTGTGATCTGCATTGATTCACGCGGCTCAAGGCATCGTGGCATACGTTTCGAGAGTCATATTCGGGGTCGCATGGGACAAGTGGAATTGACTGATCAGGTGGATGCTCTGCGCATACTCTCAGATCAACTGGGATACATTGATATGGACCGAGTTGCTATACATGGCTGGTCGTATGGTAGGGCCAATCAAATCTATCAATTGCTATGTATATATATTTATATATATCCATATGATGTTCCCGCAGGTGGTTATTTAAGCTTGATGGGCTTGGTGCAGTATCCGGAAATCTTCAAGGTGGCCATTGCGGGAGCACCAGTTACGAATTGGGAATACTATGATACAGGTTATACGGAACGATATATGGATATGCCCAAGTGCAATGAAGCGGGATATACGGCGGGCTCGGTACTCAATTATGTGCACGCATTTCCCGACGAGTGAGTGTGAAGTGGCTGATTTTTCATAGTGATATCGTAATCTATCTATCTCTCTACTTGCTCTAGGGATAACCGACTGCTCCTTATTCATGGTCTGATCGATGAGAATGTGCATTTTAATCACACATCGCGACTGATAAGCGCTTTGAATAAGGCCAACAAGCCCTATGCCTTGCATCTGTTTCCCGAGGAGCGGCATTCGTTACGCAATTTAGAATCGAATAAGAACTACGAAACAAAATTATTATCATTCTTGCAAAACTTATGAGATTCATAAAACAAGCATGCACCCCACACACCATCCTATTACATGTAATATCGTAATTGTTGTTAAACTATTCTTTTTTTTTTATTTTATGAGATATTTTAAAAATTTGCAATATAATTAAATAACTGTTGCCCTGCCTCTGTTCAATACTACTCTACTCTCATTGTAAGTAATTTAAATTAATTATTTCTACAAATATTAAATTTTCATTATTATTTTTTCTCATACTTTACACTATATACTCTTAATTTACAATTAAATTGTGTTCTATTGCACAAGTGTACATTTAAAAAGATAAATCTAAGTCGTAAGTCTCTTGTTTTTGTTTTAAAAATGCTTCACATCTCAATTATCCCATCATCCCGCACAAAAACTATTTACAACTTTTAACGCTGATTCCACGAGCCATTAATTGCAAAAGATATATATGTATATATCTTTATATATATATATATATATATATATATATATATATATATATATATATAGAATTGTATATCTCCTAGCGTTCAATAAACGACTTGCAATATATGTATAATTTAAATGAGTTCGGACCGAAAGAAATAAAAATAAAAATATATAGTAAACCAATAAAAAATATTTAGCTGAGAAACATCGCTTAAAAACTTCGTGCTTTTTAAATATAGCGTAAAGCCATAATATTAA